AATAAATGGCAACCACCTGAACCAGGCGTATAAGTATGTGCGTACATACCTCTCTCCATTAACTTCTCCACCAGGTCCTTATATGCCAGGTCACGAGAGAATATGCCAACAATGTAATAAACCAGGCGTCTTCTCTCATCTGACGCTCGTATTTTCGTAAAAACACTGTCCAACAGCAGGCCGGCTGTCGAGAAGGAGGCACTCCAGGTCGTACAGAGTATGTCCTGAGCGTCTCGCTGAGTAATGAACGCTCTTTTCCACGAGGCAGTTGGCAAAACCATTGCGGAGGTCCCTGCACCGTTACGGCCGCAGTTACGAGACCAAGGGTAGAGTTCAGTGCGGTGATCTCCACGGGCTCTCCGCTGCCCGCCATCGTGAACAGGTTGCCCAATCTATAGCTGATAACACAGGGCTAAAAAACCGCTCAGGAACGCCTTACAAAGTAATTTTCTTGCGACGACAAGGCGAGTCGACGTTGTCTCTTCGCGTGGTCACAGGTCGCCACCTTCGCTAGAGGTCCAGTCCTCCCAGCATTGGGCGTGGCATTTTGTGTTCCCCTCCATATGCGCATGCGTGTCACAAACGGCGCAAACACATGGGTTCATGACTAATGTACAAAAACGTGTAGCTATGCATGACTGTGGTTAGTCGGTGCAGTCTCTAGGTGTACATGGGATAGGTTTTGGGAGTCCACTGCAGACAGGAGGGGTCAAGGGTCGCGGGACTTCCCTTGCGACTCTCCAACTTCTTGGCATGTTCATCCAGCACCTCCTGTCAGTGGGGGAAATGGGAGTTTGAGAGATGTGTGAAACACTTGACAAGGTTTACTGCCCGGGTTTGTCCACCCCCTCACAATCTAGAAGACTGCAGTTTTGTCAGACCTTTCTCCTGAGGACGATGTGTTTTCCCTTCCAGTATTTGAGGAGGCCGTAGTACTGCATGGTGGAGACTAGATCGTCACACTTGATACCTGATTCCTGACTCAACTCTGCATGTGGGGACCAGGGGAGGAAGGGAGAGGATGAGGGGGAGGTGGTGTGGAGAGCATGTAGTCACACAAGTTTCTTTACTACAAACTGCATTCCTCTCTCCTCCTTTTTAAGAGTGTACTTTGTAAGGGCATGGGAAAGGGGCATTTTCACAACAAAATATCACTCACACTGCATTCCTTACTGCTGGTGTCATAAACAGTGAATATCCACACTTCATGCAATTGTATATACCAGTAGGAGGGATAAAGGTTCACCTTTGACAGAGAACTCAGAGCAGCTGGAGCGAGAGGAAGAGGAGGAGGAGGAGGAGGAGGGGGAGGGGGAGAGTTTCAACATGTGTGTGAGGATGACCTCCCTCCAGTAGCTGCGGTAGGAGATGAGACCCAGGTCCGACAGAGGTCGCTCAGGTGACCCCACCTTCTCCTCACGTCGTGTCAACAGGTAGCCTGCAGGAATGGAGGAATCTTACTTTTGAAGAGCACTCTGTAGTAGCAGATAAATGGGTCCAAAATGTAAATCAATATCACAAAAGACTCATGCATTACTTTAGTCTCACATGAATATCACCATTGTGTAACCTCATATAAGCAGTCATGTGAGTGGTCAAGTGACTCACTGAATTCAATGAGCATTTTCCCGTATCCCTTCCTCATGTGTTGGGGCAGGACCAGAATGCAAGAGAGGTTGTAGTTTTGAGCCGAATGCTTCTCCTGTGCAAAGAGAGAGAGAGAGAGAAGAGAGAGAGAGAGAGAGAGAGAGAAATGTGAGAGAGTGGTGAGAGAGAAATGGGGGAGAGCTTCAGACTGTTTTGAGTAATTCACGTTGTGTCTCAAGTTACCCCAACTCCCAGAGGACCGCCTGCTATGACTCTCACTGCAGTAAAATGCCACCCTCATCTGCCTCCCTCTCCTCCCTACCTTCTCTCACACTTGCTCAGGTTGTGAATATCATTACAGCTACACGCACAGGACAGGAGGACGTATGGAGAACCAGTGACAATGCACGTGAGCACAGGCATACCTAATACCGCAATCTTAATGCACCACTTACAGCAGCTATGCGCAGCTAAGTATTAGAGGAATGGCTAATTAATTTTAGACCTCACTTTCACACACACACACACACACACACACACACGATGTAGATCTGAGACCTTTGAGAAGTATCCGACCATGTGGCAGCCCCGGGAGTCGTACTCAGTCATGACGTAGAAGAGGAATGGCTCGACCGCGAAGTAGAGTGTCTTATTCTCCAAGAACAGCTTGGCCATGAGACACAGGCTCTGGCAGTAGACCTTGTGTTTCTCTCCGTCCACCTCGAAGACCGACGTCTTCCCGCTGCGGTAGATCTCCCTCCCCGGGGGGTGGCGCCACATACACAGTCCCTACAGAACACAACATCGTCATAAAGAGGTGAGGTATTGTATGTATTATGTGTGGATTATGCTAATGTACCAACCAGCCATTACATGGGGGAAAAAAACATGTCAAACCTCTTTAGTGGGCATATTTCAATGTTTTGAGGGTTAGTTACAAAAGTATGTATGTACCATATGCCACAAAAATTCATCACAGAATCACGAGACACACAACAAGGTACGTAAGGTGGACTAACTTCCACTATCCTAACGTAAGTAGGCACTCAGGCTGTACTCACAGCATGTCTGTGGAGAGTGGCAGAGCTCTTGAAGTACTTGAGGCAGAACTGGCAGAGGAAGATCTTGGGGAGACAGGTGAAGTCAGGAGGGTAGGGGGACGCGTACCACACACTCATCTCGTGGCAGCCAAACTCCACCAGACCAAGTCGATAGTCGCTCCCTCCCTCTCCTCCTCCTCCTCCCCCCTGGAATACATTGGGTGTGGTGAATATGGGAAACAAAGACCCAAAATGATGTAATCTACAAGTCACATGACCACAAGGAGAAAGAGACTCACCAACATCTCCTGAGTGATTCGACGAGCTTCCTTGAAGAGATTGAGGTCAGCGGTGGGGGCGTGGCTCTCCAGGTCCACCAGACCCCGCCCACCGAAGGTCCCACCCCCTCCCTGGTGGGGGATGATCATATTGTAAAGTTGGTTGATCCGGGCCAGCTGGAGGGGGCCGATGGAGGAGGGGGGCAGGGGGTTAACGGATGACCCCTGCTGGGAAGACGATGATGTCACTGCCGATGATGATGATGTCGTTGCGGTGGATGTCATTGATGACTGGGAGGTCACAGAGGTCACAGGTGGTGGGTGTGGCTTCAGAACAGGAGCTGGGTGCTGGGGAAAAGGGAACAGGATTGAAAGACTGGATACCGTATACTTTTCATAAACTGCCGTAATTCATTTCACGTTCGGGATTTCCATTGTTAGATGTGTTTTTAGAAACAGGTGAGTATTCACGCTTGGTGTATCTCCATGGTTGTGTTGTTCTACTAACAGGTGAGCATTTTTGTCTAATTCACATGCGTTAAAAACATGAAAACTTTGTTTACAACGTAAAAAACTTGAAACACTCTGTGTACAAGTAAAAAACCTGACTAACAAGGACACACAGACACACAGTCATTGGACCACAGAACCGGCACATTCTTCAAAGTTGGACGGGTAACACTGTACGTGCCTTCCCCCCTCTCCCCCCTCCCTCCCTCCCTCCCTCTTGCCACCACGGGGAGCGACACACACCGTCATCATCTCAGTACCATTCTCTCCAGGAGTGTCTCGCTGATCGAGTTGGCCGTCACACCAACTGAGCTCTGCCCCGTACGAGGAGTCTTGCGGAGCGGCTTGGGAGGCGATGTCTGCGGCTTGGCCGGGAGGGACTTCTGTCGGAGGTGGTTGAGAGCGATGCGACGGGATTTGCACTCCTCGGGAGTCTTGCCGTGGGCCAGTGGGCAGCCGGAGGGGGCAAAGTGCATGGCGTAGAGCCCGGTGATGTGACCCAAACCATCGCAACCTGTCGAAAAAAGAGCGCGGAGTGATGGGTAAGAGGGAGGGACAGAGAAGGTAGATTCAGAAGTAGAGAGTGCCGAATAGACAAAAAGCTGCAGTTTGTAAAGCAGTCGTCCACAACTGCATGACTGGTATATACATATAATGGCACAGAACTTAACTTCACGCTTACTTTGAACCACAACATATTTGCAGTAATTGATGCACCCAGTGTAAGGTTTCATTTACAAATGTACACAGTCTCTTTAATTGTACTAATCTACAGGAGAGTGATGTCGTTCCACGGTTGTTTCTTAGGAACTTATATAAGGCGGGAAGACGACTCTGGTGAAGCCAGACTTGAACGTGGTTCTCTGATGTAATATATTGTAATGTTGCACACGATTCTAAATATGTGCAAAAATTTAAACTGTTTGTGCTCACTCGCCAAAAATGTGTGGCATTTGTTCCAGCATACTAGTTGAAGTGGGAGATTCCCCCCTCCCTCTCTGTATTATACAATGTAAGAAGAACTCTCAGTCAGACTCACCAGGAGTGGGGCAGCGGTTACCCTTGCTGGCCTCCACTAGAGTGTAGGGAATCCTCCTCCTCCTAACCTTCTTCTCCTCCAGCAACATCTCCTCCTCTCCAACCACAGCGGCAGACGAGGGGGACAGGAGAGGGAGGGCCTCGTAGTGAACCCCTCGGGGGGCCGTGGGGGTACTGATTTTCCTTCGTTTGGGGGGCAGGGGGGTAGGAGTGGTAGTGGTAGAGGAAGATGGAGTTTGGAACGCATCGTCTTCGGACGACAGGGAGGAGTCGGAATTGGGGGATTGATTCACAAGTCGTTTGCTTCGACGAGTGACCGACTTTGCCAACGAGTCTTTAGCCGGCTTCTTGGGGTGTGGCTTGCTGGGGGAAGTGGGCGGAGCTTGAGTCGAGGAGGAGGAAGGGCTTTTTGATGCAGCCGCACCTTTCGGAGTCTGTCACAATAAAGAACATAACCACAAAATCATTTAGAACACTCAGACTATACGCTCAATGTGCCTGTGCCATGATATTGCTCGTAATGTTAGAGAAGTTTTTAAGCACCTATAGCTACTTAGTAGCACTGACACAGATAGTTTATACATACTATGAAGGCACAGTGAGCAGTCTGCGGTGCAACACGAGAAATTATTGATGCGAAGTCACACGTGCATATACCTTGTTGGCCTGGGCCGCAGAGGCCTTGTTCTTGGCAGCAATAGGACAACCAGACACTGCGTAGTGCATGGCATACATTCCAGTCACATGACCTTCTCCATTACACCCTGCACAACAACACAACTCCCCCGTGAAGAACACACACTTTGGTACAGATAGAGTGCACAATTATACTACGCAGTCATGTGAGAGTCACATGACATCATGTGACCACTCACCGGAGGTGGGGCAGCGGTTGCCTTTGCTGGCCTCCACCAGTGTGAAGGGGATTCTCTTGCGACCTTTCTTTCTGTGACTGTTGGAGGTTTTCTTACGAACTGGAGTGGAGCTCGCTCCCAACTGGACAGATTACAGAGAGAACACGTGATCGTGATGCATTGTCAAAATTATGCTCATACATACATAAGCACAGCAGCACAAGAACTGAAGATAGGATAAAGTAAATGCTGTCTATGAGAAGGGAATATGCACACATGTAGAATCAGCCACGCAGGAAACAAAGAGCTGATGTAAGCAGACACACTGTGTGTTGCACAGGGACCTCTTGTTGGACTGTGCATCACCTCAGATGTATGCAGAGAGAGCACGTGTCAACAAAAAGGTGAGGTAGAAAGGCAAGGCAAAGCAAACAAGTCAACTACACCCAGGACAACTAAAGAGGATGTATGTATGTACATGGAACTGCATTTTGCAGACCTGTTCAGCGGAGCTGCGAGCCATGTATGCAGAGAGAGCACGTGTCAACAAAAAGGTGAGCTAGAAAGGCAGAAAGCAAACAGTCAACTACACCCAGGAGAACTAAAGAGGAGATGTAGTATGTACTACAGCAAGTCGAGAACCTGCCGTTGGAAAAGGGTTTGGGGAGAAAGAAGAGAGAGGGAAAGAGAGGGAGAGAAGGGGGAGAGAGAGAAGGGAGAGAGGGAAAGAGAGAGAAGGGAGAGAGAGGGAGGCAGACCTTGAGTCTGTGTCGGGCGTGAGAGGGTCTGGGGTTAGAGGAGGAATCGGGAGTGAGAGAGGGGGTGGTGTTGGTGGTGGTGGGTGCACTCCCAGAGTCTGTCAGAGGGGACTGAGAGTGAACTGTCACTCCCTCGTCCTTGTCCACCTTCTCCGCTGACTACAACACACACACACACATAAGACTACTGAACCAGTAGGGAAGGAGTGTTGCATAGAGAAAATGCCCGCTGACTGCTTGTCAAATTGTAAAGGGGTCTACTGCCCTACCAATCAAATCTCATGTGTGGTTTTTCTCAAAGATCAACAGTTGATGAAAGCTTGTTGCATCGTTTTTGTATGAAGTTTTATCCCTCAAGAGCAGATATCACACGAACATGGAATTTACAACATAATTCGTCAGGCCCGTTACCCTAAGATGTAGGGGGTTTCTCTAATTCATGCCCACTCAGACCCCTTACCAAGGAACGCACCTTGATGGGAGTGGCCAACTTGCGGAGTGATCGCCGGGAGCGACCAGAGGAGGGTGGGGTGGGCGGGGTCGACTGTGTCGAAGTACTGGCCGACCCAGCCTTCCCCGGCACAGACATCACGTGATCCTGGGTGGAAAAACAACGAAATTCACCAAGTAACAGTGAAACGACATTTCCTCAAAATGAGTGGATATGTTTACTGCCTTTTGCTACTATGACGGAGTCTTACCTCTTACCAAATCAAGGCCGGAGTTTGGCGCCTAGATTCCTCCTGACGGGCCGGGAAACGACCTTCAGAAACCAACCAAGCCACCAACCGTGGCGATCCACACACCACGCCCCCCTTTCATCATGTTTATCATTATCTCACGTGATCAAAATACGTAAAGCACGTGGTGCAGTGCTCTCTCTCTAGCTATTCCGTTCTTTTGTGTTGAAGTCCGAATAGCAGAAAAGCGACAGGGTTGAGTGTTCTCTCATCAAGGGAAGCAATGCAGATCTTCGTCAAGACCCTGACGGGTAAAACCATCACCCTCGAGGTAACGACAGCCCGTGTTTCACACAGGAAAACTCCCTCATTTTGTCGTCTCGTTTCCCGCCAGGTGGAGGCCAGCGACACCATAGAGAACGTCAAGGCCAAGATCCAGGACAAGGAAGGCATCCCGCCCGACCAGCAGCGACTCATCTTTGCCGGGAAGCAGCTGGAGGACGGGCGGACGCTGAGCGACTACAACATTCAGAAGGAGTCCACGTTGCACTTGGTGCTGAGGCTGAGGGGCGGGGTCATCGAGCCATCCATGAAGATACTGGCACAGAAGTACAACTGCGACAAGATGATCTGTCGCAAGTAAGCCTCACTCGTCTTGTCAGCCAGTGTGCTCAAGTGTAAGACCTCCGAGAGTGAGCTTGTACAGTGGTGTTTATATACCAGTACGTTGTCTGCTATGGAGGAGTGTGTTGTACTGTGGCATCTCCTCTCTGATTGACAACGAAGAAAAAGACGGCTGGATATTAGGGGGTGGAGCTTCCTTGTTTTCATAGCTCCACCCTCACCAACCACCCAACACAAAACATACTCGTAGTCTTACTTTCAAGTCACTGTCTTACTTGTCTTTCTTCTCTTTCTGTTGCTTCTCCCTGCAGGTGTTACGCTCGACTTCCTCCGAGGGCCACCAACTGCCGTAAGAAGAAGTGTGGCCACTCTAGCAACCTGCGACCCAAAAAGAAGCTCAAGTAGACTGCAAAAACTCTATTTACCCTCTCATGTGGTTGAGCATGAACCTTATGATTGATGCAGTTCCGCATAATTATGCGTTCGTGTGGTTGGTTAGTGGGTGTGGTTTAGGACGGTGGGTGCGGCTTGTAATGTGAGAAGACTCGCAATGGCGTCGACCTCAGGTCCTACAAGTGATCCCTGCTCGCCCAAGCCAGTCGTTACGTGTGAGTTATCCATCCGTTACCTCTGTCGCGGTCGTATCAAGTGTCCGTAGGCGATGCTCGCCGTATCCACCCTCTGTTTTACCCCCCGGCAGACTTCGGAGAGATCCACCTGCTGTCCGCCGTGGTACAGAAGAAGCTGCAGACGAGGCTCAAGTCTCTGCAGTTATCGTCCCTCTCTTCCCTCCCCAAGTGAGCCGGCCAGGGTCAACCCCAGACAGCCCTCGACGCAGATTTTTCTAGATAGCTATCCGCTGTAAAGACCCTAGCCAAAATCGGTAGTAGACAATGTAGCTAGACGTGTTTGTTCGGTCTCGTTCTCCTGTCTGAATACGATCTGCATGGAAGTGAGGCTCGTTCCATGTTGTAAGAAGACCCTCTCTATCAGTTCAACAACACTGGATGCTTGTTTGGCCTCGTTCTACTGTTTGATATTGTGTGTGTCATGGAATATCCACTGTCTCTGTGCCAGAGAGGAGCAGATCCAGGGATTCAGTGACGTCTGCGATGGAGTGGAGTTCATTGAGCTCCAGAAGCTTCCGGAGAGCCAGGGGCAGTACCCGAGGCCGCTGCACAAGAGACCGGCTCTCCACACCTTCTGGACTGAGTGCTGGGTGAGCCAGTAATTCCCATTCACCAGTCTAAACTGTAGCACTGCTTTATATAGCACGGTTGTTGGTTGGGACCAAATCGGGGACCTTGGATTTTAGCAACATAGATTACATGAAAACGAGCATGTAAAACAAGGTGGAAACAAGATGTGTAGGTATATATAAGCAAGCCCTGCAGTACTATAGAGCACCAATGCATCAGATCTTTTGTCTTGTAGAAAAATGCAGAGAAGTCATTATTTTTACTGGTTAACTGTGCAATTTTGCAAATAGTTTTCTCTCTCTCTCTGTATGTGTGTGTGTGAGGTTAGAAGCATGAGACGTACACGTCAATCACTCGACCGAGGATCCAGAAATGGCTGCAGGGCCTGGAGAAGGGTGGAGTGACCGAGTGTGCGATAGTCTACTGCATCACGGCAGAGGTGAGGGCCAAGAGACAGCGGACATTCAGCAACTTTGCCACCACCTCACACGTCATGGAAGACATGAAGAACGACTTCAAGGGAAATGAGTGAGTTGGCTATTTACAAATCTACATAGAGTAGTGTTAGCCTGTTTTTCCACCAGAAAAAAACATTGGTCATGGGCATAAATTGAACAGGAAACAACACCCTCTTTGTTCGTGTTTGGGTTAACAAACACATCACGGTTTTGTACCAAACCCAAGACAAGAGCTGTGTCTTTAGAGTGTGTTGTACAATGTACAGTGGAAATGGAGAGTTGAAAGTGAATTTGACTGACCTGTTAGGGTAGCCACTGATACTCAGAGAAACCACAAGTGTGGGGAGGTTTGGCTGGAGTGGTTAAAGGTGGGCAATACATGTGTGCAGGATATCAACTGTAAAATGTCACCACTAATATTATTCTCCTCCACCGTATGTATGTATGTAGACTGCTGCTGTTACGTCTGGTCTCGTCAGAGGAGTCCCGCGTCCTGGACTCTCTCCTGGCATTCTGCTCTCAAGTATCCTCTCTCTGCAGAGCCAAGGTCAGTGAGGGGGGGCTCCATGCGTAATGTACACCTGGAAACTAAGGGTGGATAAGTCAGACAGTCCTAGAGTGTGATGGTGTGTGTGTGTGTGTGTTGTCTGTAGTTCCAAAAGGACATAGAGGTGGAGGCAGAACTGGTGGCTGGTCGACGTAACGCAGCCTGTGAGCCAAAGGAACTCTACGGCATCTTTCTACAGAAGGTATATACACTACACCACGGTCTATAGTCACCTCTCAATCTGTACATGTGTACACACCTACTTACTTGGACATTTAGACCTAGGCTTTTTTGGCGGACTTGCCTTGTCAGCTCATTTGTCTCAGCAGCTTATGCAGCAAATTACTCCCATGGCAAAGTGAAGAATGTGCTACCAAGCGGAAGCATTCAAGAACCTAATAGGCTCCGTATGTGTCAGCATGGAATTTTACGGCATTTTATGTATGTCAATGACATTCCTGAAATTATGGCTCACTATTTGAGGATACACCTAGTTGACATCCCCTATCAAACTACAAACACCGTTTAACTCTTTAACTCTTGAGACTCAAGAATTGATATCATGACTATCGACTTCGGTAACAAGAGCCTTAACATCCTATCTTTAAATTACGTACTACGTAGACACTATGTTAATCCTGAGTAGTGCTCTTTAAACCTCCATTTTCTCCCTCCGTTTCCTTTTTCCTCCACTGTCCCCTCCTCTCGTCTCCCTCCGTGTCCCCCCCTCCAGTTGAACCTGGCAGTAAGCTATGAGATGACTCTCCAGAACGAAGAAGCTCTCCTGCTGTACCAGGAGGCTGCGACTGACCTGGAGTCTGCCGTCTCCATCATCTGCGGGAGCCAGACTCCGCCCACCTGGCTGCGGGCCCTGCAGGAGGCTCAGTGTGACAGTTGGGACTACCCAAAGCTGGCCTGGCACAACCTCGCTTGGAAGGTGAACGGAACATTCGAAGTGTATCAATTCTGGCATGCTGTGTTTTTCTTTTTTCTTTTGGGAAAACTACTGTATATACATATGTACATATGTAATAGTATGGAGCTACTACTTTAGACATCGAGTCTCACAATTGTTTTGTGTTGGGGGTAAACTGTGTACATATACCAGTTATGTGTAAAGAACTCCTCTTTAAGAGATGGGTTTGACGGATCTTTCTGCTGTTGTTGTGTACACTGCAGTACCTGCCCGCCATCCAGACGTGCAGCTCTCCCCTCCTCCACACACACACCTACCTCCTGACGCGGATAGCCCACCTCCACTTCACTCTGGAGAGGGCGTGGACCGTGTCCGATCTGGTCATCTCCACGCTCCACGCCATGGCCAGGCAGAAACGAGCTCTCAAGGTTGGTCTGTGTGTGTGTGTGTCAGTGAGAAGAGGGATGGGGAAGGAGGGAGAGGGAGAGGGAGGGGGAAAGAGAAACGGCAGAGAGATAGAAAGAGGTTGGGTGTGATGCAGCGCAATGCCAAAATCAATGATGTCTTATTGTGACGCCTGGGGCGTTGTTTGGAGTTGGTGTATTGCATGTTTCACACAATTGTGCACCCTCAGTCCTTTCTCTAAGGACACCACTGAATTGAGGACACCTCTCTAATAAGGACACCTTTTCTTATTGCAAGAACAGTATCCTGCATGTAATTTAACCCCTGAAATAGGTACACCTTACTAATATGGACACTTTCTTCTGTCCCATTGGTGGAGAAGACTGTTCTCATAAATGGTCGTCTTTTTGAAACGTCTTCCCCCTCCTCCAGCTGCCCCTGCCCGACGGGTCGTTTGATTGCTGGGCATACATGGCCTGTAATGAAACTGTTCTGGCCATTATGTCTCGAGTCAACCCCGACACCCTGGTTGACTCCACCACCTCCCTCCTCCTGGTCCGCGCCCAGCTCTGGCACTACGCCCTCGAGAAGGTGACCCTCTCAACACTCTACATATACACAGCATTGAATACAGCTGGTGTCTGTGAAAATGCCCTACTTTTGGTGGATTTATTGCAGTGGTGCAGAGGGAATTATCTCACCAGCATGGTGGTATAATAAATTTATTTCACAGACCTGAGAGCAAAAGATTTGGTGTTAAGTTGCTTGGATTCCTTATTAATTGATATCTGATCTCCAAACACATGAAACACACGAAAAAAACATAACTAGCCTCATTCTCGTGTTCATTTCTCCTCCTTCTCTTTCTTCCTCCTTCTCTTTCTCCCTCCATCCCTCCATCCTATTCTCCCTCCTCCTCAGCTTCACTACATTGGAGGCCTATGTGGACTGATGCCTGGCAACAAAGCAATAGAACAGAACACTTCTCTTATTCACACTCTCATCAATGGAATCTCACCCGTTCCTTTTGAAGGTGTTACGTCATCATTACATCACCGTGAATGATGTAATGATGATGATGTAATGTGTTTTGCAGTGAGCTCCAAGGAGATGGTGGAAGATCAAGGGAGGAAGCTCAGGGACATCCTCATATCTAAAGACTCGTTCAAGCAAGCTTACCTGGTGGGTGTCAGAGTGGAGCTGCTGGGGGGGGGAATTTAACCCCTTTCCCCCTGCCCTGAATTAGGCCTCGTGTGTGTCATGCACCTCCATAACATGCCACCTCTTTTGGCGACCAAAGCGAGCCTACCTAGTCCGTCTGAACTGTGCAAATGCATCTAGTGTTGCACCCTTGCCTATATTATAAACTTTTGCTGGTATAGTATTATATGTATGTATATACATTAAACTTTGCACTTGTTGCCGTATGCCTGTGGCTCACATATTCACTTGCCTTGCATTCAGTTATAGTATGTACTTTGACCTATTGCTAGTCTCACATTGTACCAGACAATTTGGGGTAAACACAGTGATACGTTTCTTTCTGATGTGTATATATATATGTAGATGCTGGGTGAGATGGTGATTGGAGCATTCAAGCATGCCGGGAGGAGAAGGATGGCGTTTAGAGTCGGCACCAAGATGGCCAAGTTCCACCGGTCAGTGGGTGAAAGGAAAAGTGCCTTGTTACTTCATATTTTTAGTCACTGGTTACTCAGTGCCATAAGAAAGAAAAGTTATGAACAGAGGTTAGGAGCTAAGAGCAATTGAAAATGCAATTTTGTGACTCAAAACTACCAGAATTCACGTTGCATGCTGCACACCTTGTACAACTATAGCAGCAGTCAAAAAATTAATTGCGAGCACGTGAAGAGATGGCACCCGAATTATTCTCATGCACCAGAGCTTTCTGACACACTGAGCAACGATTAATGTTGTGTGTTGTTTTTGAATGACGTAATCAACTACTCAAACATATACAACTGGCAAAGCTACACACTACTCATATCAGTTCAATCAGAGTTCAAATCATCTACACTACTGTACTGTTCTTTGTGTTAAAAACACGGCCAGTTTCTTTAGCGAGTGCACACGACACAACTCAATTCTTTCTCTTGTTCGTACGGAGGGCAGGGCAGACTCCCACACCGCGGCTCTACAAAATAGAACAGGGCTCCGTTTGCGTTAGCGTGTCCCGCAAGGGCCTTCTTTGCATCGGCGTCCACGCACTCGAACGTGGCGCGGTGGTGTTTGTGGTGCGCAGACATGAGGAAACCGTGGAACTCTTCCTTCCACGACGACGACGGGCATTTGTAGGTTCCGGGGATCATTATCTTGGCGGACCGAGTGGAGACGTAGCACACTGCGCAGGGTACGTCGTGGTTGTGAAGCGCTTGTAGACCGACGGGTTGTTCGGGTAGATCTCGTACTCACTGCCAGTACATGAACGAACCGGTTGCGATGCCAGGACCAAAGTCCTCGTTCTCTGGTTCCAATGTGAGACACTGGTAGTTACTGCCGCCACCCCGGTGGCTGAAGTGGCTTCCTCCGACTCTCCCCGAGTAGACCGTCTCGGCTCCTGCTGCACAGTTTGTGTGGCCCCACCTCACGTAGGCCACCCCACCTCCCGCCGTCTTATGTTGGAATCTAGCTCCTTCATTGTAGGTCTCCATTTCCGACAACACGGAGTCTTCGTCTGACTCGGTGTCTTCGGTGTCCGTGCCAGAGAGAGGCCAGTTTTGCAGGTAAGAACTCATGTGGTTCCTCTTTTCAATGCCCCGTCGTCCCATCTCTGCAGTGAAGACCGTACAGAACTGTGTTTCAACTCACACTGTGTTTTTACACTAACTTGGGCTCCAAATGCCCATTAATAACAGTGTGTATTCTAACTTTGGCTGTAGCATACGTAATCCAAATGCCTATCAGTACCTACTAGAATTAAAGTCTGGAGAACTGGTCTAAAGAGGTTGCCGAAGGAGAAGATACGTATCTATGTTGGTACAGAAACTGTGTGTGTGGATATTTTACCGCCGTTGCCCGTGGCAGCAGACATGCCAGTAGCCAGCAGGGAGCAGAGCACGGCCGAACACAGCAGCAGCAGTTTTCCAGTCTCATGGCGTTTCGATCCAGTCAGATTCTCGGAGAGAAGAAGGTCTTTGCTGGGTCAGTTGAGGACGAGGGAAGAGGAGTTTGTTCCTTGATGATGAAGGTCTCCGCAGGTTTGTCGGCACCACTGAATGTGCTGACTTTTATACCGTCTCGTGTGGTGGTGAGTTGGAGGAAACACTGGAAAAGTTAATATCCGCCTGCAGATTCAACAACCAAAACAGTCAGGGGTCTAATGTTCAGGAATTAGGGTCCACCCACTACGCTGTTATGTATGCTAATTGACTGGTACTATATGTAGTATTCACTTTGTAGTTGGAGGAGGAAAAGCAAGAAGAACGGAATTTCAGACTTGGATGATACTGATTGACAAATTGGTGCAGCGAATGCTGCAGGATGCTGTAGCTGGTCTTCAACCACCTGTTACCTCGGAATCCAAGGTTGCCACAGTTCCAGTGAAATGGTACATGCACCTCCAATGCATAATAACTACAACACGTGTCTGCTACAATGTGCGCATTTCTTACGAAGTAGAGAGTTGCTGCTCAGCTCTTGGTTTGTGTCTTGTCATCAACTAATGTGGACCATAGCAACCATTATCGACATCTCTGCATTTTCAAAAACACATGTGAGGAGGATGTTTAATTATGTCAGCGAAGTTAATTCTTCAACCTAGCCTGAGTAGCTCAATGGTGAAAACTGGGTGAAGTTATGGACACCACAGTAATGCATGGGTTTTCAAGGGGGGAATGGGTATTTGTCTTTTGAAAATGGCTTTTGCCCCCTGAAGTGAGAGTAGTGTAACTGGTATATCCCCCACTATATTTCTCAAATAACCGATACATATTACACACACTCTGGTTGCTCTGGAAGGTCAGAGGACAGAGGGAGTGGCCCAGAAAGGCACATGTCTGATAGGCAACTCATCTCTTCAGGAGGAATGCTTATCTGTCCTAAACTGACACCGTATCATCTTCGTATTTCACAAGAAAGTTCCAACCTAGGATAAACCACTCGGTAGGGTATCCAGGTATCCAAGGCCCAAGTACTATGTTGCTATTGGATAGAGCAAGACAGAATCCAGCAGTGCTTGCTGCCCAATTTGTCCATCACCATGGAAGTCGGTATTGACAGAGGGAACACCACAGTTAGCAGTATAAACTCTGTTCTGCAAGAGGAATGCACACAAATTATCATTTCCTCATTCAACTGAACCACAGAGGCCATGGCTTACAATGCCAGGTGAAGATGAAAGCTGAGGCTCAAAGGTAATTGAAGACCTCTAGATGAGGTATCTAAGAGCCAACCTGCTCCATCTCCTACTGGAAGACGGCAACCTCTGCACATTCGCTGCACACACTTGTTCTTCTTCGACCATTCTTTAGCCATTCTTTAGCATAAGAATATGATCTGCACACAAACCATTTCCACAAGCACCTATGTCGTCTTAGAGACGAACAACTTGGTGTCACGGACATATTCCACACGTACGCGTACTCATTTCACATGTGGAGGTGAACTAGTACTGCGAAGGGTACGCAAGCAAAAAGGAAATGAGTGATTCAAATTCCTGTTATAGAGACAAAAAGATGCGGTAACCCGCCGATTGTTAACGTCTGGGACCTGAAGTAGTAGTGACAGTGATGGGTTTGGTGTCCCACCTATCCACAGGGACCTGGGTATGATGCCGGAGGCTGAGGAGCTGCTGAGTGACATCTGCAGGTTTCTACTCCGAGGATCAGTGGCTGGAGCTGTCTGCCCCTTCCTACGCCCTCCTGGCCGACTGCCAGAGGAACCTCCACCTCGAGGACCAGTATCCTCTTCTGTACGTGCATACAATACCTTTCTCTACCAGTTTGTCAAGAAGTAACTATGTATCTGTGGTGGCAAACACTATAGCACACAATGTTTCACCCTTAGTCTTTTTCAAAGTGATTCCAGTACCTCTCTATGTGGGCATAAGGTGAAACCTCTGAATAAGGGACACCTGGGGACATTCATAGTCTCCTTTAATCAGAGGTAATACAATACACTAGTGGGACATTCATAGTCTCCTTTAATCAGAGGTATCCCCTATTCAGAGGTAATACAATACACTAGTGTATTAGTAAGAGGCAGAACCAAGTGTCCTCCAGTAGTAAAGCCGGCATTGCACGTCCATGATATTGTTCCTTGACGTGAGGTGAGATACGTCAACACTCTGGTCCTGCTGGCCTCCCTGCCTGCGTTCCCCTCGGCCTCTCATGACCCCGCCCACTGGATGGACCAACTACTAGACGTCGCCAACAAATCAGGTGAGACGGACACAAACCTCCAGAGCTGCCAGTAAATCTGCATGTAGTCACAAGCGTCGTTTTGCTGGGGGTTATTACATATGATTATCCTCCATAGAAACACCCAGACTGATCTAATAGTGTGTCTGACCTGTGCACAGTGTTTCTTGTCTTAGCTGCTTTGCAACACTTGACAATGCAATCACGTAGGAGGGTTTCTGTTTATTAGCTTACCACATCCAACGTCCTCTGATTGTTGTAAGATGTCGTGTGATTATCATGTGATGCCGTGTACCTCCAGCATACCAGAAGATCCTGGCGTTCGCCCCATTGTTGGAGCTGGAAGGAGTAACGATGGCAATAGGGGACAGAGAGGGAGGGGGAGGAGGGGAGGGAGAGAAAAGACGGTAAAAGTCGGTCAGAAAATCTCACTAAAGGTCAACCTCAAGTCCTTTGCTCCCACGGTTTGTACAAAATCTCTACCAAAACAAGTAGTATATAGGCATTACCAGCAGTGAGCATCATATCGTGTTGCAGACAGTATGGAAGGACTATAATTTTAATGCAGTAGGCGACTACAGAGGCTTGCTCCAGCTGAAAAAAAACATTCCCTCCTTCCTCTCTCACTCCTCACTCCCCCTGTTCTCCTCTGCCCCCTCACTCCTCTCTCCCCCCCATCTCTCCCTCTGCCCCCTCCAGATAATGAACCAGGTGGTGGTGGTCCTGTCCCTCCACACTCCACTGGACCCCTCTCGTATCCTCCTCCCAGAGACTCTCCGTCGCCTCCCTCGACCCCAGCTCCCCACGAAGCCCCGCCCACCAGCCCTCCTCGTACCCGCAGCTGGAGGAGCTCGACCTGGATGTGGAGGCCAGTGGTCTCCCGCGGTCTCGTCCCATTGGTCAGATCACCAAGGCTCGAAGCAACACCGCCACTCTCATGTGCAGGTGAGTGGTAACTACTGAACGGTAAAATGTACAGTGAAAGCTCTGATGTTGAGATATATTATACCTTGGGGACATGTATACAGTAAAATCTCAAATGAAGGACCCTCTGTATCTGTAGTTACTTTGTATTGTGTGCATTATGTGTAGTTCATCTCTACTGGAACTTGAGGAGAAGAGTCAAAAGAGCCTGAAGCTGCAAATGAGTGGGGTTCTCCCCTCCCTCCCTCCTGGTCACACCACTGCCACCATCACTGGCAAGGTGCAGTCACTCACTCACTCCCTCTCTCTGTCTCTTCCCTTCGGACACACACTGCCAGGTACCACGTGTTCCCTCTGAAGTATTGTCTAGACCCATCTGCAGACTTTTTTGTTTTTGGAGCACGGGCAGTGAGGCCCTTTTTGAACAAAAAAAACCAAAAAAAGAGGAAATTTTGCACTGGGCCCTATTGTTTAGTTCCGACGCTCTTTTGTAACATTTGCCTATACGTTTAGCTGCTGTGAAATATTCTTCACTCCCCTCCCAGGCCCGCCAGCCGGGAGAATATTTCCTGGAGAAGGTCAGTGTGAAGGTCGGATCCCTCGACTTTGCCATCTCGTCCCCCTCCCCCCTCGGGTGGTGGGCGGAGCCTCTGGTGGTCACCAAGAAGACAGAAGACGTCTCCATCTCCCTGCTGCCAACTCTCGGACGTCAGTTCTCTCTATCTCTCTATCTCTCTGCTTTGTGCTACATTGTATCGGGTTAGAATGTGATGGGGTAGCTCGGGGACGGGCAGAATAATAGAAATTTTTACCTTCAGTTTGATACCTGGTAATACTGTTGCCATGGTTTCTTTGCACAGTCTTCCTGGCAGGGTATCCGCAGGAGTGCACTCTGACCTTTGAAACGGAGGCCGACATCACCATCCCACAGGGCAGTACCCTCTCACTGATGATGTCATCTGATGTCATCACCGACGGCGAAAGTGAGTGTAGTGTCGTATGCTAGAAAGTGTTGTGAGTCTGTGTTAACTGGAGTCTTGTGTTCTACAGGAGACTCGGTGGTTGAGGAGGGACAGAGGAAGATGGTGATGACGCTCCCCGAGGTTCCTCCCTCCTCCTCCACCTCCCTCCCTCTCCACCTCACCTTCCCTCCCTCCTCCCCCTCCTCCCTGGATAAGATGTCTAGTGGAGACACTGACAGCACACACTACCATCAGGTATGGGAACCCTTTACCTCCCCACCTTACCCTCTCACCAGCCTCTGGATTCCCCAAACCTTTTCTGCCATTTTGAATCAACACCATATACCCCCACTACCTTTATCTACACCTAAACTCCACTTTCTAGCACTGATAACTCACACTACAATATATACACCTCATACTTATTGTGTCATGCAGCAAAATTGGGCCATGTGCCCTACCGTTCATCTACGTTGCTCAAATCTTTATATCTCTGTGTGTGTGTGTGTGTGTGTGTGTGTAGTTGTCAGTGTTACTGGAGGGTGCGGGGGAGCCTCTGAAGGGGAGGATATATGTCCCGGTCCGTCAACCTCTCACCCTCACCCACTGTGAGCACTCTGCCGGAGAGAGGTCAGCTCCATCTCTTGCCCGAGACGTGTGTCACAACAGTACACCATTATTGTATTAGTGGGAAATTTTCTGAGAAGATCAGTGTATTGACGGAACATGTTTCGAGCAGAATTTTAAACATCCTTGTCCAGAAATAAAACTTGCTGTTGGAGGGATACCTTCGAAGAAGGATGTTACAGCTTTCTGCAGAAACAAATTTCGCACAGATTGGTAGTTTTGTAGGGCCCTATCCTGAAAAAACCTTTTGATGTTGGATTGAAATTTGTAACAGTAATTACCTTTGCCTTATGGAAGTTCTGATGCTAGTCTCTCTGCCTGTATCTCCCCACTCTCCTTTTCTTTATTTCAGTCTATTCAGAAATCAAACAGTAGTTGTGATCCCTCTCTCCTCTCTCCTTCCCCAGTAGTTGTGATCCCTCTCTCCTCTCTCCTTCCCCAGCACCTACCTCCAGTTGTCTCTGGAGAACACGTCTCCGGCTCCTCTGCTACTCAGCAGTCCGTCTCTCTCAGTCGATCTCTCCACCACTCAACTCCACACACAGCTACCTCTGGTACGTACACTCACTTTTAGCCTACATTTACCATGTAAGTTACATCTGTATGTGTCCACATAATTAGAATCATGCATCTTTGTAAAATAGATTTTCTTGGACAAGGTCACATAAATTGAGTAAAAAACCTAACTCTTTAGTGTACGAATATGCATTTTGTGCCCAACCCATTTTTCTCGCGTCTTCCTCCCTTCCAGGCCCTAGATCCTGGTGGAAACTTCTCCTGCATATGGCAGACCCAGCCCTGTATGTGTGAGAACCTATCATGTGACGTGTATACTGTGTCACGTGATTGTCGTGTGACCTGTGTCATGTGAGTCTGTGTCTGTTTCGTGTGACAGCAGACTCGCGGTCAGTGGGGGAGGATGGGAAGGCTGTCTTCACTCTTCAATACAGACCTCTCATTGCGGACCAGGTATTCATACTTATACATTATTACGCAAAGTAAGACCATCCACAGATTTTATAGCACATTGGTCATGTTGTGCCCCGTTGTCATTGCTCCAGGAAACGTCACACGTGGATCTCAGCTATGCCTTCCCAGTGTCCAACATGAGAGTACGTAAGATGCAAAACACACAGATGTGTGTCTCTTTCTTGAACTCACTGCTTCCTTCATAGCTTCTCCCTCACTCTCCACCTCTTACAACCTCCTCAGAGAGGCCTGATACACACGGCATTTTATCTTAATGCGCATGCGCACATATCCGGGGAATCCAGTTACCCCAGTAAACTTCTCTGATGCTCTCCCTCACTATCTTTGAGCTCCTATCAGAGTTCCTCCCCTCCCCTCCCCTCCCCCCTCAGACCGTCTTCCACAGCCAACTGTTCATCAGTAGTCTCGGGGACACCCCTGTCACAGCAGGGAAAGTGGCGGTCCTCAAATACGTCATCAGCAACGTGGCCATTGGTCTCCCTCTCTCCCATCTCCCGGACAACCTCCACTACACCATCTCTGACCCCGCCGACCTCTGGCAGTTCCACGACAGCTCCTCTGGAGTGATAGGTTCTCCAACTCCGGGAATGTCGGATCAGATCTGCGTCAGGGCCGTGCCGAGCAAGCCCGGGGCTCTCGCTCCACCAAGACTCACTTTCAGAGTCCCCCGGGTGGGGTCAAGGGTCGACGAGTCGGACTGTAAAGGGGCGGAGATGGTTGTCTTGACGCCGGCCCAGGTGTACGAGCTGTCGCTGGGGGAGACAGTAACTGTGGTGGTAGGATAGGTTGTGGCAAAACTTCACTTTTTTACATTCATTTTTGATTCAATTTGAAAGTCCTCCGATTTACCCTTCTTTCACCCTTTCATTTTTGATTGTGCATCTCCCATCATGTTCAATGGAGAGTAAAAGAACTCTTGGTAGTGAATGCACTGATCCTGAACGCAGGCTGCAATGCGCATTACAGTGCAGGCTACTGTTTGGGTATATATGTAATTCAAACCTGCTGTAAGTTCAGTATAATAAATTATACGACTGTTTTGTAGCTGGTTGTGAATGGGTCATGTTCTCGCGGCTGCACAGTGATGCAATAATCAATTAACACATGCCGTTTATGTTCTCACAATAAACCCGCTGCAGGCGCCTTTATTATTTTTACAAAACAAACTTTGTCCAAAAAGTGCACACACATACTGTATGTGATTGTGATTGCAAACACCTGCGTTGCTTGGTGACACATTTCCCCCCAATAATAGTGATTGTAACGACAAGAATAATGATACTTACAGACTTAAAATAATTGCTAGGATCTCTCCCACGATATTATTGTGCCGTACAATATAATCTCAGGTGACAATATTGTGAACCACACGAGAGTGTGATGAGAGAGATGGTGGGTGGGTCAAGAAGGATGGGTGAGGGTGGAGAGGGAGGGAGGGAAAGGGGCGATGAGGGAACAAGTAGGAGGGTTGCTGTTATGACGTGATTTTACACAACTTCTCTCCCAGTACCAGCTGCGTCTTCACCAGGTTAAAGAGATACACGACCATCAGGTGATCCTGCATGCAAAGAGACAAGGTTAGCAACCACTGTACGATGACTGAAATGCCGTCTTTCCTTACCTGCATGGTAGAATTGAGGATAGATTCGAACTTGGTCTCGTCCATCTGAGGCATACAGGACACTGCCTCCATTAGCTCCCTACCAGCCGTGGGGTTACCTTCCACCTTCCCAGCCTGTGGAGAAAACAACACAACACCGTCAGTAGGAAACACAAGAGTTGGAGAAGAACGCAAGCAGGAGGAAAAATGAGAAAGAGAAGTGTGCATGTCAACAGGATGTACGGAGGAAGAAAAAGTGACGGATAATGAAGAGGGAGGAAAGAAGGGAGACAAATGAAAGGGAGAGAGAGTGGATAAGGAGAACAATGGAATAAGGAGGGAAGAGGAGAGAGGAGGAGAGGATGGTCGAGGTAAGTGATATAGTGAGGGAAAAGGGACTGGACTCACCAGAACTTTCTGGACATACTCCAGGGCCTGCTGCAGGAGACGGTCCAGAGACTCCGCCATGTGACACACCTGTTGGAGGTCGTGCCGTATCGGAGCTGGCTTCTCCACGGCTTCCTTCAGGAATGACACGCCCACTCTCTCCGGCTCGTAGCTCACAATCTCGCAGGGGACGGGCGAGAAAACCACACCCTCCGACTTTCCCGGCAGCCCCATCTTTGACCTGAAGGGTTGAGTTGAACGTTCCTCACTATCACTACCACTCCTACAACACACTGAATAATACGAAATGGACCCTTTGAACTACTAAGAAATAAGGCTGTTGAGCAAAATGGTAATTCGTAGTTCAACACCTAAACCCATTGATGGAGGAGCCCCTGGTAATTAAGTGCGTGGTTCACGGTCTCACTTGACGTGTGCTCTAATCTGAAGGGAGTTCTCCTTGAGGCTAGTGTCCAGAGTGAGAAACAGTGCGTTGGGGTCCAGTCTGGCGTAGTACTCGTGGATGAGGAGAGAGTGCATCGTCACATCACTGCAGGAAGAGTACCTGACACGTGTGTGTGTGTGTGTGTGTGTGTGTGTGCGTGCCAAATGCGGAGTACCATTAGTGGGGTAGCGAGCCTCTGGAGAGGATAACTTACCATCCAACTGTCACCTCGTTTGGGTGGACACGCTGGTGCAGCTTCATCATGCCGTCGTTGAAATCCATCCCAATCTCAACCTAGTGTGTGGAGGGAAGTGATTACTGGCCTATCACAAGCAGGGGAGGTAAGGGGGTTAATACGAGGCGGCAGGGACTCACAAGTAATTGTGCACAGGGGTTTTACGCATTTAATGTAGTACCAAGTCTTCAGTCTCGTTGTGGGGGACGGGGTAGGCGTTCCTGATTACCACCACACCTCTCTTCTCCTTGACGCCGACCAAGGTCCCCACTGCTCGCTTGGAGCCCTCGTTCCGCCGCTCGTGGCTGTCAACAATGGACATCAGCGCCACCGGATGCACGTGCACGGTCACCCCGAACACGTTATCCATTCCTCCGTCCGCACAACAAGACGCTAGCCTCTCTCTTTCTCTCCCAACGCGCCCTCCTCGCCTCCTTCACACACTTTCCACCAGAACCCGTTTCAAAATTTTCCACGTGGTTTTGTGAAAATTGATGCGTATAATTAGAAACACACTGACGTAATACACACAACGTTGCTATGAGACGAGGACACCCTGTGCCTTGCTGTCAGGGGAGGGTTTAGAGTCCTTATCTCTCTCCTCCTCTCCCTGGAACCTGATGCCATATTTCTCCTTAAATTCGCTCAACTCGCGACCTTTCACTTCTAGCTGCTCATGTAGTTTTGTCACTATAATGGATATCTGCATGAGAAACGGGAAAGCAAACAAAATCACATCATTGTCATTGTAAAATTGAACATCTGCAAGCATAATCACACCACAACAGAAACTACAGTCAAGGATGACTAGTGCGAATACCCTCATGGAAATTTGTCTCTCTTGGCCAGTCGTTTATTTAGGGAGCGGGAACATCTATATAATGTTCTCCAGAAAACATTGGTTCAGCATTGAACACATTCCTATAATGGGTCACACTTTGCCTAAATAATGTATACAACAGTGTAGATTCACTTCTCCATGCTTCCATCAAGTCCTACCTGTTCATTATTGTACTGTAATGCAGGGAGAACCTCCTTGACAGTTCGTTCCACCAGAACTCCACCCACCAGTCTGAAACACCGTCTCTCTCCCTCCACTCCCTTCAACACATCTACCACCAGTCTGAGTCCAGGATATCACACAATAATTATTACAGGGGCAAGAAGGATCATAGCAAATTGAGCAACAATACACACGGAATGATTTGTTTGTTGCACAAGGACAGGACTTAAAATCTGCTGCATGGAGAGGCACCCTTCATGTGATGCTGCTGACCACTAAAGGGACAACGTGGCAATCAGGAGGAAGATCAAAAACGGGATATAGAAGAGCTTCATGTTGTATGGATACACAGATGCTGCGCAATACAGTTTTAGCGAAAGATTCACGGAAAGGGACGCTTTCTACTTCGTTAATAATTGCGTCAGCTAACACGAGGGCGGGCGCTAAATAGAGTCCACACACTTGTATTCGTTGTGTTCCCCCTCCAGCTCCGTTATCTTGCCGACGATGGCCCTCTGCTCTTGGCGAAGCTTCTGGAACGTGGAGACAATCTTCTCCTGCGTCATGGGCTCGCCCTTCTTGCCTCCCTTGGCCTTCTCCTTCTCCTCCTTTTCAGCCATTTTAGGGGGCGAATTGCGCATGCGCGTATCAAATATAGGCGGGTCTTTCGAACGCAACGCGAGAAGAGAAAGGGAGTGAATGAGGGAGGAAGACTAAGATCAACACATGGAGTCTCTTTTCATGGCGAGATCGCAGTGAGTATAACCAGCAGGCCATGAAACGGAGAGAGTGTACAATTCAGTCATTTTCGCAACAGGTGCAGGTTGAAGACTCCTCCCCCTCCCCTCCCTCACTACTGCCCCACACCCACCCTCACTCCCCATCAGAATAATCATGTACGATCATTAAAATTCATTTTACAGCTCTGCTTATTAGCTAATATGATTAGTCTCGCTTGTTGGACATACCGAGAAAATCCGACGACGACCTAATTTGAACCAATGAACCAACAGACTAAGGCCCTTTTACATGCATACTACGTGCTTATTGGCCTAATAGGAATTAGGATCCGTTTCGAAATGCCATGTCAATTGTTTGGGAATTACACGTGTCTGCCCTGCATAACGGAGACACCAGCCCACTGTGGGAATATCTGTCGCAGATAATTGGTGGCTATCTGTTCGTTGTATGCATTATGACCCAGCCTACGTGTTTATACATCTGCGTTCGACCTTGAAGAGTTGAAGTGTCGTACCCTATGTACTAACTTATATATACACAAGAGCTAAGGAAGGCTAGCTCGCAGAATTGATGCAAGCTTTTTGCGTGCTTGGTAGAGCGCTCGCCTAGACTGCAGAGTGTCGTGGGTTCGAATCCCACCTAGGACAGCTCTTGCCTTTTGCCTGGCTACCTCGTTGCTGATTTGCGTTTATCGATACATTTCGCAATGAAACCAGCGATTCTGTCACACAGTGCTTGTGTTGATATTGCGAACTAACCTGTTGCAATACCCCCGTTTAGGAGTTCTTGTTTCATCTTTCATTCTACAGAAGTCTTTAAGTACTGTCAGGACGCATCGTAATACTGGTGAGGGAATGGCTGGCGGTTGCTCTGGCAACAAGACCACGCCCACTACTCACTGGCATCTTCAACCAGCTGTCTACGATGACGGCTGGAGGGAGGGGGAGGGAGAGGGAGGAGTTAGTGACTCATCATCTCAATACAACGAATGCTGGCAGAGCACTTCTACTGTTGATTCAAGAAGACATGGAGAAGAAGAGGAGGAGGAGGAGGAGGGAGAGGGGGGAGGAGGGGAAGAGGGAGAAAGAGAGAGGGAAGAGGGAGGAACTGAAGAGAGAGTGGATGGTGCAACAGGTCAATCCACCATTGCAAAGTTAGTTTCTCAGACACACACGAAGCCTTGTTGCCTTTCCAATTTCATGAGTCATGACCCAATGATTTACAGTTGATTGTAGGAGCTAATAATGCTCCCCGTAGTGACATGTACAGTACTTGTACATTACTCCAGTTTCACAATCGCTACATTCCCGGCATTCTTTCGGCCTAAACCTGGCATGACATCAGGAGCGAGACATGCAACTAACTAACTGAATCCAGTCCACACACAAACTCAAGTAGTCGTTTCTTGTGAAAACATTACAGGTCACAGGCATTTCTCCAGAGCTGCCAAGCATTTGCGGATACAAACATCTCCATTTTATGGCCCTACTTACTTCTATGATACACATTTCTGTGCGGGCACAGTCGTGGTTAGAACCACTAATGGAAGCGGCCTACAGAATGCTCAGTTATAGGAGAGTTGAGTTATGGGGGTTCTTGTTTAGCCATAACCGATCTGTTGCCAGGTACATTGAGAGATTTCGCAAGGCTCCGCCCACTCCAAGAGAGGGGCGGAGATCGGGTGCAGGGGTCAGTGGGAATTTTTGGTGGGAGAGGCCCCCTCGGGGTCCCCTGGGGTCGGAGTCTGAGCCCTCACTACCCCGGAGTCACTCCACCCCAGACCCGAGTAAATCTACCCAGACACGACTACTACCTCGGAGTCAACAGATCTTCAGGTTCGTGTGTTCCAATCCAGCCACTGTATAATTTCAACTTCTTTTAGGCTATTGCTTTCGATTGGGTATTCTTTATCTTTCGAAGACATTGTTTTTTTGTCACTTGTGGAGGTCTTTAGTTTTTCTGGTTACTTAATGACGATTTACAGGTCTATTGCATAACAGATGTGAGTAGTATGATGTTGGCATGTTCCTGCAGTGAATGCAAAAACGATTTACGAGTTGGCAACATGCAACAGAGTTGTGCCTTGTAGTACGCTTGATGTTGGCAAACTCCTGCTGTAGTACGAATAAGAAGCCCGGAAATTAGTGAAAAAAGAGACGGGAAAGTGTTGGGGTCCATTTGGAGAAAAATGGGACATACGGAAGTAAGTTCAGAAGGAATCACATTGGTAAACACCATGCATGCACTCGCCGGGTCGTTAGCTGTGCTTTACAACCATTGAAGGCAGCCTGAAAACATCTCTGCGGTTGGTTCCTGTAAAAAAAACGAACTCCTACCAAGTGACTGTATGGAAAGAGTCAAATGCAGCATAATATTGACCCACACCTACACGTCATTTACTTGTCAGAGGCGCGGTCAATGTTCACCGCATGGGTCTGCCGTGTGGCAAAACTCCTGGTGGCCGTGGGGTTTTCCTGTGACGCATTCATGCAGTTTTTGGTTCTTTGCAGGTTGGGAGAGGGCAGAGGTGGAGACGAGGGGAGAAGAGAGAGGTATGGTATCATGGACTAGAGGAGAGAGACGAAAACACGGCTGCGACGGTTCGATTATTCACTTTCTATCATCCCCTTTATCTTCCCCCTCCCTCTCCACGTCAGTCTCACTCAGTCCCGCTCTCTCTTCCTTCTCTCTCACTCGCCAACATAATTTTGGTGACATACAAGAAAACAAAGGAAGCA